AATCACTACTTTGAAGTCTTGGAATTTTAAGTATTAGTTCTAGATACAAAAGAGAGCTAAAAGAGAGAGAGAGAGAGGGAAAAACAACAACAACAACAACAACAACAACAACAAAACGTTCAGTTATTAAGCGACTAGAACCCTCTCGCGCGCGGGCAAGGAAACGTGATATACTTTTGAAGATTTGCATTCTTATAATCTAAAGCATAATTTTTTTCTCTTTATATATTATTAGTTGGGTTTACCCCCACGAGACATAATCCGAACCACATTTAACAGGATGACTGCCGCGGATCTACAAAGAGAAATGCCTACGGTAAGGAGTCAGATATAATATACAATCATTACTTTTCTTCAAGTAGTATGACTGCATGGATATTACCAAGAATGATTAAAAGATTGTTCCGATTCCATTCGATTTGCGTCAGAAATATCATTATGATCTTATTGAGTCACATATATTTAATAGTGAGCTTGTTTGTCAAAAAATTAGTCCGGGACAAGACTAATCATAAATTGAAAAGTAATCAAATCGTGGAAATTGTGTATCATGACAAAATATGACGTCATTAAGTTGCAAATATTATCTAAAACTGTATTTATTGGATATTCTCTCCATGACTGAAAGTATAAAACACAAACCTTTATTAGATATCATTCATTTGTTTACAATGGTAACGACTTCTGACGTGATACTTACCTCATAATTTCTCGAAGTCCATAAAAGTCACTGAATTTTGTGCCTGTTTGGTAGAAAATACTGGACCCAAAAATAAACAAAAACACTCAACTCAGGGCAGGCAATAAAAAAATAAACTCTATTCACAAGGTAGTGGACCCCGAGACCTAGGAAGTGCGCATGCGTGTGGAGATTAGCTAGTGCACGCGGGGAACTTCAAGCCATCATTATCGATTCCTATCAGTGATGCGTACTCGGCTAAAATGTTTGGTTCAATGAGAAATCATAGAATCGTGCGTACGTAATTAATTTAATATTACATATATTTTTTTAGTTCAACTGGTACAACCATCTACAAGGAATGTTTGYTCCGAAACACCTTCCTAAAACGGAAACTTTCGAAGTGTCTAGGCTGCCATACCTAAAAGGTGCCATGGAATTAGTTAACAATACATCCAAGAGGTATGTTATTAGAATGTTAAAACTACAAAATAATGAGTGTCATTTCTTTGTTTAACGGTTGCACTCGGTTTCATTTGAGAAGGCACATGAATATGGATACGAACAAACGAATTTTTTCTCTCTTGTGAATGACACGTGGTCTGAAATGGGAAAACATTGTAACGCAACGATTTTGGTTTATTGTTGCATTTGTGTCAGTTTTCTATTCATTTCATTGAATTGGCTTAAATACCGCGATTTGAAACAATTGCTTGGTAATAGAGCGTAACTCTGATATGAAACAAGGGGCCATTTTGCATGACCATGCGAGAACTGCTGTGCTATGAGATAGTAATGCAGGCTCAACACAGGGTACCCACGCATCTAGCTTGTAGCAAGATGTCTCGGTGTTTGATTTATTTATTTCTCTTTCTTATAATTTTCACAATTATTTGAAACTAATCAGCTACATGTAAAATCGGCTAAAAAATTTTCTCAAAGAAACAATTTTTGAATAATAGCTCTAAACATATAATTTATTCATAGGCAAAGCAAGACTATGCCCTTGCAGATAATTGATAATTGCTCTATTTCCCCCAACTTTTCTTACTAATCAAACACGATAGGTCGAAAGCACAGATAATAAAGACATCACATCAAATGAATTTTGTGTGGTAGTTTCTCTCACAAATCAGAAAAGTACTCGAGAATAAAGATAAACAGATAAACATAAGTATACTGCATTTGATACTTTCTTACCCAAGAAAATTGTTCGATTACTGGGATATCGAGAATCCCTTTCCAATAAGGATACATGGAACTAAAATATGCATTATTTCGGCTCGAGCATTTGAAATTACAAAAGTTTTGACCAATTTATAAATGACTATGCAAACAAATTTTACAACTTTGATGGGCAAAAAAATATAACTTCCCGAATTTTCCAATCAAAGATACGTAAGCAAACACAATAAACACACATATAGATGTTATCATTTTTGTTTGCAGTACAGTGGTATTTTCAATACTTTTACAAATATTCAAGGAGAACAACGCCGAAAAGCTCGAATCATTAATATATGATATGAAAGAAAGGCGAATATTTTCGCATGTCATTGAATGCGATTTCTACATATGATATCGTAATAAAATAGAAATAGCATAACACTCAACTTTATAGCGAATCTGTCATCAAATAGTCTTATTTCTTCAGTAAACCAATAGCTAAGTATATCACAACAGTCGCCATTTTTGAGGTAGCTCGCATGGCGGCTCTTTGCAATCATGTTTTGCGAAGACTTTATACGTTGATATTCACTTGAATCGCACAAATGATACATATTCGATGTCAGGCTTAATGTCTGAGCCTATATCTAATCGTTTCAGAAGACGAAAAAGCAGATCTTTGAGCAAATTTATAACATGATCGAAGCTCTGTACAGTACACATGAGCTCAGGTATGGCGCGCATGCGCAGCAAAATGGCCCCTTGTTCTGATACAATATTCTATTTTTCCTGCACCAAAAATCTAATGTAATGCATACAAATATATTTTGTCTTTCAGTGTGTTATCCAATTATTTGGTATGGTACGTGATTAAGGACGAGATCCCTTACATGTCATCGTTCTATAGACGTCAATATGAACAATATCAAAGGAATACTTGGAACGAACGTTGGGCGAAATGTATTGATGATATAAACACATATTTTACAAGAGACATAATAGGTGCTGGATTTTTAGCAGATAACTTTACCAACAATTTGAATATTATCAAACCGGTAAGTTTATATACGGCTATTTCAAAAAAGGTTGAATACTGAATACTGCATACAGTACTGATTTAAGCATTCCAAGACCGAAGTGCATTATAGGTCATAGTGACATTGTCTAATGTAGGATTCATGATAATTATTTATTCTATTTTTAGTGTATTCCATCTGAAACAATATACTAACTACATGTAGAGAGTTAATTGAGATCCACAATGCCTTTTGGTCTTGGAATGCACTATTCAGAACGCAGTATTCAATATCCAACCTTTCTTTGAAATTGCTGTATAAACTCAATTGAAGAATCGTTGTCGGGTTCAGAATTATAGAACATAGAAGCTGAGACCGAAATGGCACATGGGAAGTACGTTAATTAGATGCATGCTGTGACCCGGCGACCCGTGGCATCATCCACTGTTTTTAATACACGTTTGGCATTGTAAACCGACCATGCATGGATGGCGCAAATGAATAAATTATAATATAATTATGTCATTTCCCATGTGCCATTTCGGTCTCAGCTTTTATGATCTATGTTTCTGAACCCGACAACAATTCTTCAATTGAGTGTATACTACTAGATAAGAAAACACGAAAGAGTAACGCCACCACTGTCTTATATTATAAAGCGTTATGATAATCGGCTACTTTTTCAATATATCTGGTGCATCTGTCGTTATATTCGGTGCATCCGTATAGAGTAAGCGTCGACAACTACGAAGAACATCTTGTTTAGATAAGGTCCTGTAAAATCCAAATGTAATCTCTTCCATGCCCTCTCCTGGCGATGACCATGAGGTTAGCTATGATCGATATCGATGATGAAGGAAAATCAGTATATAACAGTGGTGGTGTTCCATACTTTAGATTTTCAACAATTTAAATCGAGGTTCATTCCTTGATTTTTAAAGTATTGTTTGTGTTTTTAAGATTGAAGTCATGGTGAATGAGATACGAGATGCTTTCAAGGAGAATGTGAACTCTCTTACATGGGTTGATGATCACACCAAAAGAGCAATAATGGACAAGGTATCTGTCAAGAGATGCCATATTAGATGGATATGTCGAATAACCTATACCTCTTAGTAACCGCGTGCGAGGTCCGTACCGTAGGTCAATGAGCAATTTTTCAGGATCCTCGCTTAAAGTGCTTATAAGCCTTTACACAATATTTTCAGAATTGATTCTTTAAATAGTGAATAGTTGAT